TAAAGATGCTTTTGTTTTGGAGGCAGCTATCAAAAATAAAGAAGTTATGCTATTTTAGAATAGATGTTTTATATTGGGCCTTACTGTAATTTCTATTTTTTAGTTGTAGTTATTTGTAAAGTACCAAGTTAGTATTTAGATAGTTTTAGTAAGCCTGCAGATTAATTCATTCGGCTATTCAAGTAACCCTAAGCACTCAGACTGATTTCTTGATCTCTAATCGACATCTCCTCTTCCAATCTTTCTTCTGCTAAATTGTATTTCAATATGGTATCAGTTTTAGCCTAGATCGATCCCCTGTTTCAATTCATTGATTCATCATTCTATCGATCGATATCTCTATCGATCAAAATGGATCCCAATCGTCCAATTTTTCCTCTAAACCCTACTGAAGATTACTCATCACCCTATTATCTGCATCCGAGCGATCATTCAGGCATCAGAATCATCTACGAGACATTTACTGGTGACAATTTTAATGCTTGGAAGAAGTCGGTTGTTATGGCTTTAACCGTGAAGAACAAGATGGCTTTTCTCGATGGTTCAATTTCTCCACCGTCTCCAGATAATTCATCTCTATATTCTGCCTGGTATCGTGTGAATGCACTCATTCTGTCTTGGCTGGTATACTCTATATCACCTACTATTCGCAATACTTTTCTCTATTTTACCAATGCCAAAGATCTTTGGGACGAAATCAAAATAAGATACGGAAAGAGTGATGGTCCTCATGTGTTTCATCTTGAGAAAACTTTAAGTAATATTTCTCAAGGTTCTCAGTCTATCACTTCTTACTTTAATCTTTTCAATGGTATTTGGAATGAGTATTGTAATTACAGACCTATTCCTACTTGTTCTTGTGGTCACTGTACCTGCAAAATCAATGAAACTTACCAAGAATTAATTCAAAGGGACTCGGTTTTCAAATTTCTCAGTGGTTTGAATGATTCTTATTCAAATTTGAGAAGCCAGATTCTCCTGAAAGTTCCCATTCCAAATCTTTCCACAGTTTATTCTTTCTTACTTCAAGAGGAGTCTCAAAGATCTTTACAGAACTCTGTTAATTCTGTCTCTTTCCTTACTGAACAATCATCTCAAATCATTTCTAATCCTGATAATTCCTCTCATGAGTCTACTGCTTTCTTAGCTAAGTTTCATTCTTCCAAAAAGAAAAACACTAGCACTTGCACTCATTGTGGTTTTCAAGGACATACTGCTGAAAAATGTTATCAATTGGTTGGATATCCCAGTAACTGGAAAGGTCCTAAAGGGAAACGTTTTGCTCCTGGATTTCAACCTTCTCAATCTTCTCAAGCTCATTTAGCTAATGTTTCTGCTGATCCTATCTCTCATGACATGGACTTTTGTGATCCTGATTTGTATAACAAGTTTCTACAGTACATGCAAACTCATAACAGTAAAACTGCTTCCGCTAATGTTGCAATGTCTGTTCATGCTGAAGATCCACCTTCTTCAACAACTGATCATAATCAATTCCTTGGTAATCATTTTGTTTTTAATACTGTTAAGAAATCAAATAGCTGGATTCTTGATACCGGTGCTTCTGACCACATGATTTCTGATTCTTCTTTTTATACATCTTCACCCAAACCTGTAGCTATTAATATTCAACTTCCCACTGGAAATTTTATTCTTGCTACTCACATTGGAAATATTAAACTCAATGATTGTCTTACTTTACATAATGTGTTGTATGTTCCTAATTTTACTTTCAATCTTATATCTATATCTAGTCTAGCTCTTCATGAAAACATTTCAGTAAATTTTACATCAAACCATGCTACTTTGCAGGACCTTCTTACCAACAAAATCATTGGCTTTGCTGAAATTCAAAATGGCCTTTATCATTACAATCCTTCCACATCATCATTCACTATCAAACATCCATATGTTGTGAATTCTGCTAGTACTGATCAAAGTTCTCATCTTTGGCATCTTAGACTAGGACATTTTCCTTACAATAAGATCAAATTGTTGTCAAACTGTAATGTTGATAAAGCTGCAAATAATAATTCTGCTTGTGATATTTGTCATTTTGCTAAACAAAAACGTTTACCTTTTTCTCCTAGTGATTCTTATGCTCAATCTTCTTTTGAGTTAATTCATATGGATGTTTGGGGTCCTTATAAAGTTCCTTCTTATTCTGGTTTCAGATTTTTTCTCACTATTGTTGATGATCACACTAGATGTACTTGGGTTTTTATGATGAAAACTAAATCTGAAGTTAGATTTCACATGATTAATTTTTATAAAATGATAGAAACTCACTTTCATAAAAAAATTAAAAACATAAGAACTGATAATGGCATTGAATTTATGTTTACTGATTTTTATAAAACAAATGGTATTATTCATCAATTATCTTGTGTTGAAACTCCTCAACAAAATGCTAGAGTTGAAAGAAAACATCAACACATTCTTGAAATTGCTAGAGCTTTACTATATCAATCTTGTTTACCTATTAAATTTTGGTCTGATTGTGTTTTAAGTGCTGTTCATATCATTAACAGACTTCCCACCGTTATTCTTGGAAATAAATCTCCTTTTGAAATGTTATATGATAAAAAGCCCGACCTCTCTCACTTAAAAGTTTTTGGATGTTTATCTTATGCTTCCACACTTACTGCTAACCGAACAAAATTTGATCAAAGAGCTTTAAAATGTGTTTTTATTGGTTATCCTTTAGGATCTAAAGGATACAAATTATACGATTTAAACAATCACAAAATTCTTATTTCCAGAAATGTTAAATTCTATGAAATGATTTTTCCTTATAAAAACATCTCTACTAATACTGATTTTCATGCAGATCAAACTCCTTCTGAAATATTTGAAACTCAAACTAACAATACTCATTCCTATGACTCTGGACCTAATTTTAATATCTTAAATACTCAATCTGATGATAGTGCTAATCACATTTTAACTTCTAATGATAATTCTGATCTTGCTTCAAGTCAAAATACCTATGTACAAAATCAAATTGATGATGAACTTACAGTGTTCAATTTCAGTGATAACAGTTCTATTGCTAATGAATCTTCTAGCGTGTTACAGGAAACTGAAAACAATGTTATTCCTGAACATCAATCTCAAAGGCAGTCTTCAAGAGTAAGAAATGTTCCTATTCATCTTAAAGATTACCAATATCAACTTCCTGCTTCTTTCAATAACCATACTTCTCATTCGTCATGTAACATTGTCAGATATCCTATTGATAATTACATATCATATAATAGATTAAGCTTTTCTCATAAATGCTTTACTGCTGCATTATCAAACATTACTGAACCTAAATCTTATAAACATGCAATTAAATTTCCTGAATGGCAAAAGGCTATGAATGACGAACTTCATGCTCTTGAAAAGAATAATACTTGGATTCTTACTGACTTGCCTAATAATCAACACACAATAGGATGTAAATGGATTTTTAAAACAAAATTAAAATCTGATGGCTCTCTTGATAGATATAAGGCTCGTTTAGTTGCAAAAGGCTATACTCAAGAAGAAGGGTTAGACTATTTTGATACTTTTTCTCCCGTGATTAAACTAACAACTGTCAGAATTCTTTTAGCCATTGCTACTGCAAAAAATTGGCATTTACATCAATTGGATGTAAATAATGCTTTTTTACATGGTGATTTGTATGAAGATATTTACATGCAGCCTCCTCCAGGTTATTTAGCATCCAATGATACTAGAGTCTGTAAACTTCTAAAAAGTTTATATGGGCTTAAACAGGCATCAAGGCAATGGTATTGTAAACTTTCTGAATCTCTAAAATCTTTTGGTTACATTCAATCTCAAGCTGATTTTTCTCTTTTTACTAAAGTTACTAACAAATCCTTTACTGTTTTATTACTTTATGTTGATGATTTAATTCTTGCAGGGAATGACATCAATGAGATTTCTGCTGTAAAAACTTTTCTTCATAACAAATTTACTATAAAGGATCTGGGAGAACTAAAATATATTCTAGGCATTGAAATTGCTAGATCTCAAAAAGGAATTTCTTTATGTCAAAGAAAATATACTCTTGATATTTTATCAGATTTTGGTTATCTTAACTCTAAGCCTAGTCTAACACCTATGGACCCTAAACTTAAACTTAACAAAGCTGATGGAACTCTTTTATCTGATCCTAAACCTTACAGAACTTTAATAGGTAAATTACTTTACTTAACTGTAACTAGACCTGATATAGCATATAGCATTCAAACTTTGAGTCAATTTCTTTCAAATCCTACTGATATACACTTAAGTGCAGCTCACAGAATTCTTAGATACCTCAAAAACTCTCCAGGTAAAGGTCTTTTCTATTCTTCAAATTCTGATTTTAGGTTACAAGGATACACTGACTCTGATTGGGCAGCCTGTGTTGATACTAGAAGAAGTGTTTCAGGTTACTGTTTCTATTTAGGAGATTGTTTAATATCCTGGAAATCAAAAAAGCAACCTGTTATAAGTAGATCTTCTACGGAGGCAGAATACAGAGCTGCAGCTAATGCAGCATGTGAAGGTCAATGGATTTCGTTCATACTTAATGATCTAAAAATAAAGAATCACTTACCCATAACTTTATATACTGATAACAAGTCCACCTATCATCTTGCTTATAACCCTATTCAACACCAAAGAACTAAACACATTGAGTTAGATTGTCATTTAATTAGGGAAAAAATAGCAGTAGGATTAATTGATCTTATTCATATTAAAAATGTTTATCAGCTTGCAGATATCTACACAAAAGCTTTGGGAAATCCTCTTTTCACTCAATTTGCAGCCAAGATGAACATGATTGATATACACGCTCATCTTGAGGGGGAGTATCAAAAATAAAGAAGTTATGCTATTTTAGAATAGATGTTTTATATTGGGCCTTACTGTAATTTCTATTTTTTAGTTGTAGTTATTTGTAAAGTACCAAGTTAGTATTTAGATAGTTTTAGTAAGCCTGCAGATTAATTCATTCGGCTATTCAAGTAACCCTAAGCACTCAGACTGATTTCTTGATCTCTAATCGACATCTCCTCTTCCAATCTTTCTTCTGCTAAATTGTATTTCAATAGCAGCAATGAAGAAACATCCATGGATGCTCCCGCCAAAGGCGATCCCCCGCTTACAAATTCCTACTGCTAGAAGTACAAAAGTTAATGAAGATCTGACGGTGTCACTAGTTCGTCGCATGAAGTTGAATTTTACCTTTGGATGCATTGAAGGTTTCAATGGTGAAGGTGTGGATGAGCTTACTCCATTTTCTGTGAAAAGGGGGACAGGGAGCATAATTGAATTCTCAACGGGGGATCTCTTTTTTTCAACTCAACCTAGATATTCAGCTTAGTGTGAATTTTTTTATCTCTAATCTTTTCCACAATCGCCAAGTATTTCCCAGACCTCTCAAAGTTCCATACGATGACATCCATGTTCATATTCTCCCCCCCTTCAAAAAGACGACTATTGATGAAGATAAAGAGATGTTTGTTTTAGCAGATTTTGGGGAATTAATATTTTAGGGATAAAAGATTAATATTTGAGCAGTTTCTTGAGGGCTTGAGGAATTACTTACTTAAGTATCTTAGCACATATACCACATCTGGCTATGGTTCCACCTTTCAAGTGACTCTGACCCTACCGCCTGAAGAAGATCCAAATCAAATGATGGCTTCCCTTTCAAAAATACCTCAACCTGCTGGTAATCCAGGTTTTTTTTCCCTTTGTGAGCTTGCTGCTCTTCATTTGTTCTTTTTTCCATTATTTTTGTTTCCAGGCCACCAGGGCACAATGGCACATAAGAGCCAAACTTGAATTTAGCTAAAACACAACTAACACAGTTCCTAAACCAGTGGTTTGATAAATGCAGGCTGATGTTTATGATAATTTATTTGCTCTGAACTGTGATGACTGATCCACTCTCTATAAGCTCATTCTTTCCTTTTTATTTAATGCTATTTTGTCCAGAACCGCCAACTCTCATTATTAAAGGTTTGCCTCAATGGGTTACTGAACAACCGGCCTCAATGCGCATCTTTTTTGAGACTTTTGGTGTGCTGAGGTATTCACTTTGATTTCATGTATCCTCTTTTTCTTTACATGGTTACATGACTTACATCTATATTTATACTAGTTTTCATTACGCGCGTTGCGCGATTGATACATGCCCAATATGAGTTGTGCAAATATATCGTGCAAATAGATAGTTACGTTGTTATGCATTGTATATACTTATTTTCTCAAACAAAAAGGTAAAAAACCAAGGAATTGTGGTAATATTTGGTGAATGGAACATCATAAGGGATAAGGCAACTAAATTTTTGTACACGTAAAAGCGTCTCCAATGTCTCAATGTGCACGGTGCAAATGCGGCTTGAGAAAGATAGACATGCAAATATTGCTAAACAAAATATCTCTCTGCTTATTTGAACAGTCTTATATATTTTTGGTAAGTTTTTCTCCGTAGCGTCAAGAAGAATGTCTAGATGTAGACATTGTGATTGACATAATTACCAAAATTATATAAAACCGTAGAAAGAATGAGAGGGAAATATCAATGATTTATTTGTCTGTGTCTAACTCTCTCATAACACATGTACATCATGCACATTGTAGCATTGTAGATGCTCTCTAAGGGAGACTGTGTCAAATCAAAATCAAAATATATGTCAATGCAGCATTTAGATACATAGAAACAGAATAACTTTTACAAAATTAGTTACATTTTATATCTAGAAACATGTATAGAGGGAAAAAAAATATGAATGAAGTTCTACTTGAAGTGGTTGAATTGGTGATTCTTCTAATTTTAGAAAAATATACATTTACAATTTGTTTTATTAATAAAATAAAGAAAAATAAAATAAAGAAAATATTATACGAAAAATAGCAAAAATAGGTTCTTATAGTAGCTTTAGTCAATACAATATGAAAAGTAACTTCAAACTCATTTTATTGTATTATTACATAATCAATGCTTGAAATCAATAGCTATGTATTTGTTGGGAAAATGGATGATAAGTATAATAAGCCGAAAAACTAAGTCACCAAACGGTCTCTAAATGTGACGGTATGTTACAACCGTGGCTATTTTCAAATTGAAGTTTAACACTTATATGAATTTCCTTAAATTCGCACTAAAATTCCTAAATCACTTTGCTCAAAATATTTATCTTGATTGGTTTCTCCCAAAAATAATTTCTTGATTCAATAACCCAGACCGGGTCTTGATCATTTATCAATTGAAACATCTTTACAAACCTAACAAGTAGTAAATTAACATCGATCAAAATGAAGAAACTGAATTTATTGATTAAGACCTCCTCGATCTAGATGGATATAATCATATTCTAGTCCATTTTTTCTGTTCCAAATAAACAGTCTCGAACAAATATATGTACAGGTTGTGAAATTTATTGTCACCCATTTTTGACAGCGCGACATGGGTTATAAAACACTTGGTTAAGTGGAGTATAAGTTTAACATTTGCAAGACTATGAGTCTTGAAAAATCTAATTAAACATTTGCAAGTTTAACATTTTTAACATTTGCATTTTGCCTAGAAAAATAAGGCAATAGGTCATATTTTAGTTAGTTGAGTTTAAAGTAGTTACATTTGTGTAATTTTTTCTTTCATCATTAATTATGATGAAGTTTCTTTTTCATTTTTCAATATTCCCCAGCTAACCGTCCACAACAACCACGAGTCACGACCACCACCGTCTGCCGCCACCCAGTGACCATCTCCAGTTATAGTGACAACCACTCAGTGATCATCTAGGTCATAGTGATCGTGCTCAGTGACCATCTCCTGTCATAGTGACCATCTCCGGGTCATAGTGATCGCCGCCCAATGACCATCTCCGGACATAGTGACTGCACTGCCAGTGACTCGCACCACCATCCCGATGCTCGCCACCACGCCGACCACCCCACCCTCGCCCACCAGCCTGTCACTCCCCACAAATCGAAATCTAGATGCTTCGAATCCCGGCCGTTTACCACGATCATATGTTGGCGCCATAAACATCAAAGCCACGTCCTCCGACTCTCACCATCTCTCATCAATGGCGCCAACCGCCTACTGAAAAGAGAAGAAAAAGAACAGTGGCGGCGATGGAGCTTGGGAGATGAATAGGTGGCGATGGCGATCGAGAGACGGAGCCCGGAGAAGGCGCTTGAGACATGAAGCAGAGGCGCGCGGTCGGCGGTTGAGATCTAAGGCGGCGTCCTGCGGGTGAGATCTGAGGCGGCCTCCTGCGGATGAGATCGAGTATTGCCAGGGCCGGCCCAGGGGGTGTGCAGGGTGTCTGACCGCACAGGGCCCAAAAATATGGAAGGCCCAAAAAAATAAATTAGTAGTAGTATTACTACTAGTCTACTACTCCGTATAAGCTAGTCAGCCCAATAGCGAACAAAAAGGTGCGGGACGAGCATAGCAATCTGTGAAAGAGGAAGTGCATAGGCCAAAGGGCATAACGAGTGACTGAGCGAGACGAGCGACGTGCGGACGACTCTCCGTCTCCAGGCTCTGCTCCAGCCTCGAGCCATCCTGATTTCTAAGTTGCTGCGGTGATTCGGACACATCTAGGACGGAAAGACTCCACTATTCTAGGTATATAAATTTGTAACTAATAGAGAGTAATGGTTCTTTATGAATTAATTTTGTAATCTGAGTTCAACAAAATGATATTAATAGGTTCTTAGGCTATTAAATTTGTTTTTGTTTCACTATATAACTTTATACGTAAATAAATTTTTTTCTTGGATTTATTACTGCTAGTTAATACTAGCAACTTCTATTTTGAAATAATTTTTTAATAAATTACAACTACTCCGCATTAACAATTTACCATTTCAATTGAAATAGCATTTCTATTAACGATAGAAAAGAAAGACCTGCTTTTTGTTGTTGCACAGGGCCCTCGTTTTCTCGGGATCGGCCCTGAGTATTGCGGCAGCATATGAAACTTGAGGCATCTATCGATAATACTCTGTATTAGATGGGTTTATTTTGGGAATTTTATTAATTCAGCACCCGAAAGATAGATTAACTATCAATTTAGGACCCGAATGATGAAACGTATCGATATAGGACCCGAATGATGGAAAACTATCATTTTAGGACCTAAAATTTCATAGGTTATGATTTATTTAATTTTTTATTAAATCCATTACTAATTTTTTAAAAACTTTTCTTCACAAAAGTTTATTAGTTTAATAAAGCTAAATAATATTTAAAATTTTCAAAATAAAAAAAATTACAAAATTTAACACAACTTAGGTCCTAGATTGATAGTTTTCAATCATTTAGGTCCTAAATTGATAGTTTTTCATCATTCGGGTCTTATATCAATGCATTTCATCTTTCAGGTCCCGGATTGATATTTCGTTTAACTTTTGGGAAAAACAAAAGATGTCATATTTTTAGAAATAAAAACATGTGTGGTAATATAGGGGTCATTAAGAAATTAGAAAACTTTAAATTTTAAATAGTTTATTTTTTCCATTTTTTTAATATTTGTGATCTAGAAGCTTTTGTTTTTGGGCCTGAATTGTTTTAGGAAGACTTCTTTTGCTCTTGTTCTTTTAAGAAGATGCAAGATAGATTAAAGTTGACATAATTTTTTTTATTGTTGATAGGGCTTTTGATGTTGCCCATGGTGAAGTCTCACTTCAGTTCGAGAACTGTTACAAAGCATTAAGACTGTTGTGTGCATGTTCTTTGCACTTGGTAACCACAAATTATTGTTGTTGTCAATGTTCTAAAAGGCGCTAGGGGCTAGTCGGGTGCCAGCCCATCGCCTAGCGTCTAGGCGGGGATTAGTCGGAGACATAGATATTGCATTTTTATATATACTTTTGCATAAATATGATAAGTAATGTTGTATTTTTGTGTGTATAAAATACATATATGCATATACATTAACAAACATGAATGATAGAATTATCACATTTAATCATACATAGTATATGATAACTAATCACTTAATTTCATTATGTTATAAACATAAATAATGATAAAATTTAAGTATATATACAAACATATACAATTTTATCTTAATTTACAACATCATTTCTTTATATCCATGGCTAAAGTTAAAGTACTTATATCGCTTAAAAAATTAAAATGAAAATCTAGACGGCCTAGGCGGCCAATTAGGCGCTCTAGGCGGGAAACTGGACGCCATAGACGGCCGACTAATTCACCTAGACGGTAAACCAATTAGTCGGAGCGCCTAGACGAAAATCGGGGCGCCCGGCCACCGCCTAGCGCCTAGGCGGGGACTAGTCGGACGCCTAGAATGATTTTTAGAACAGAGGTTGTTGTTATTGGTATATCATCATCATCATCATCATTTCGCAATGTGATAATTTCATGATATATAGTTTGTCATTACACATTTTCATTAGAAATATTAATTGGAAATTCTTTTTCCAACTTCATATTCACTTTGTATTATGTTGCTGATATTCAATTTGTATTATCTTATATTTATCTTTATTTTTGCTAAAACATTGGAAATGTTTATATTTATCTTTATCTTATCTTTTTTTATCGTACCTTATTTCTCTCTTTTTTTTTTCTTTTCTTTTTGGCTTTGATATCATGTATTGATTAATGTTAACCGATCTCAAAATCTTTTAGGAATAAGGCTTGGATCTTATTGTTGATATTCACTTTATATTTTATGACCTTGATTATTATGTATGGTTTGTCATGACACAATTTCATGAGATATATTAGAAATACTTTTGCCAGCTTTATATTTACTTTGTAATTTTGTAATTTGCAGGAGAGTGTTGTACAAGGAGACACTCTTGTTGACTATGTTCTCACATGGAAGGAAAAAAGGGCCTTGGAGGAGGAAGAAAACTTGTCCTTTTCTCCAATCTTAAAGAAACCACTACTGGAGCCATCAGCTACAAAAAATGAACTGGAGAAACATCATGGCAAGTAAAATGGCTAAGTTAATCATATTGATGTCGTTCAATTATACATTTAAACGGTTGTGATATATTTTAATATCAGTAATATAAGTAGTTTTATGTATGTCATTTAAGTAACATACTCCTGTAATGTTTATATATACTCATCGTAGAAGTTAGGACTTAAGAACATTGATATGTATGTAAGATCACCTCAGGCAATTCTGACGGGAAATGTAGTCTAAACTTGTCTATTTGTTTCATTTAAAAGTTAAACTACCAAAATGCAATAATACCGAATTACGTGAATGCATCTCTTTGTTTAGGGGCTATTTGATAGGTTTGCTTTTCTTGATGACTAGTGATAAAGAGATATTGACGGATGGGATAGCGCCAAAAGAATCTTGGTGTTGTCAGTTAAATTTGTTTTTATTTCATGGGATATCTTGTCAATTGATCGATGTGCTCTTTCATCGTGAAGTAATTTTTTATTTGTGGAACTGTTTTAGGTTATCAACTGGAAGCTGGAGAAGTTAGAAAACTAAACACGAAATTCCAAATAGGATTGGTTGATCATAAACACGAAGAGAAGACAAATGATAAGGATAATTTCATTCAACAGCTTTTGATGGAGAAAAGAAATTTGGAGGAGAAGATTGTGAAGTTGGAAAAGAAGAAAGAAAAGATGGGAGCTAAAATGAAAGATTTTTGCATTTTGGCCTCGAAGCACGCAAAGGGAGAGAAACTTGCATTTGTTTGGCTGATTGTTTCATGGATCTTATTTAGCATTGTACTATATCGTAAGTGAATTGAGTTGTTTAGTAGGTAGCATTACTGTTGTACTGTTTAAGTAGGAGGTTGGGTGTAAAACATCTTTGAATGTTTTCCATGTATTAAACCTTTATCTTGGTGGTTGGATATGAAACATAACAATGTTTTAGTACTTGGATTGTGAGCAATTTAAAGTGGCTTTGAGGATTTGCTTGAATTAGAGCTTCTAAGTACCTTCCTACCTTGTTATAATGCCCCTTCATACTGCCATGAAGCTTCATATGCGCATGATGTTTCACTTTGTATGCAAAGTCTCTCGAAACAAGTACTTTGTAAGCTCTTCTTATGGTTGCTGTTATTTCTTGTGCGAGCTAGTGAGGCCTGGACTTGAAAACTTCCAATAGTTGGACTGCAACCCATGATGCCTTTAGTTGTCTATTTTTCTTCATGTTTCTATTGCAGGTATGATTCCCTTCACAGTCTTGACTACAAAAGAATCTCTCCTGCTATCCCGGCTAGCGTACAGCCAAAAAGGACACTTTTCCACACACTTTGCACCTATCCTTTGTTGCCTATTCTTAGAACTCACATTTATTTTCAAGTTCCTACCTTGAGCAATTGCAAATTTCGCCACTGCATCTTTAAATTTGTCCCTATTTTTGTAACACCCCCAGATTTCCCACCCAAAACATTGATAATTTAAAGGAAATTCTTTATTCATTCATCATAATGTTGAAGAAATATAGCGGAAGTTTGAAAAGGGAAATGGGTGTTACCGCCACATCCGGTCATCTCCTAACCGAAGGCACAGGCAACTAAATCAAAACAAAGTAAAACAAATATTCGACATAATTAAAATGTTTATTCTTGGTTAAGTTTTTCTAAGGCATGCATCTCTAATCCGCTCTCAAGCGCATGCAATCAACAATCAACATAGTCATCATCACCTGCACAAGTAAAGTGCAGAAAACAAAACAAAGGAAAGGAAACAAAAATTATCTTTAGAGCTAAGTAAGTACTACTCAACCCCGTAAAATAATCAGGTTTGACAAAAATAGTTTTTCTTATATACTATATAAAAAGAACTCACTCCACCAAAATTCTCTTCTTCTTTGATCATCTCAAAAATCACTTGTTCTCTAACTTCTTAGTAATTTAGAAGGGCGGTGTTCAACCTTTCGACTGAGCCCGGTGGACCATGGTTACGGATGGCCACCCCGAACAAGTGCCGGTACCATAACTGCTCTTGTGGAAACGAAACGACTACCTTAAGTGTGCACACCCCCAAAAAGGGATTCCAAGCCCTCCGAGTAGTAAGTCGTCACGAGTAATCGGGACTCAGTCTACCAACTACCCCTGAATAAGATATCTCTGAATGATTAGGGACTACTACTATATATAACTTCTTCTTAAAAGGGATCATAGATCCAAATGTTACTTCAAACTCAAACTGTACTTCTTAGTAGTAGCAGCCCTAATCACCCTCCACATTTATCCGGATGTGGAAAACCGACACCGCGGATTTCTCCCGCGGTGCTCACCTCTTATAAAATCTTTACTTTTATCTTGAATTAATTAAGATATACTTCAAAAATACTTCTCAATCTCTCTAATTAGTCTCAGAGGTATTTAAAAATATTTAATACCCCAAAAAGTACTCTTAATTTGTATTCCTTAAAATCACATACTCATAATTCACAATTCACACTTAATCACATAATGCATAATAAGCATATAATACGAGGAAACAATTTTGGATTGGTAGAGAAACTTACCGTAGGTCCTGACGCCCCTAGTCCTCCTCTTCTATTCCGGTCTCTAAAGATTCACCTTTTTAATTAAGATGATTTAATTAGTCACTTTTTTGTATTCTTAATAGTTTATCCAATTTCTCTTTTATGCGAACTTATTAATTTAACGAATTATTTATTCGAGTTAATCATTTTTTATGAATCAAATCATTTTATTACTTCAGCCATAATTTCTAATATTTGAATTCTATAATTATATCATAATAACCGACGTGTATTTAATTAAAATAACCAAATTTTAATTTAATTAATCACCATTAATTTATTCTACATCAAATTAATTAACTATAATTTGATATTATTATTAATATATGAATTATAGCATATTCAAATTACTTCGATTATAGTTTATTATAAATATCTTCCTACTTAATAACTATCTCATATTATTTATCCTATTTTAAACTAATTCGGTAATTAATACAATCATCCTTCATTAATTTGTAATCTGGTCCGAAAGTAAAAGGTATTAACTAATTAACTAATTCAGTTCATCATAATCTTTTATCATAATCCAATAAATATGTTATTATCGGAATTATATTAAAATATTCAGTTTTCATGATTACTTTAATCGACATTAGTAGTACATCTGTATATTATAACAATTATTTAAATTAACTAATCATCATGAACTTAGTCTGATTTTATTAACTAATCACACACTTAGTATTTCTGAGTCCGTAATTATGTTAATTTTATTAATCTACTTCAATTAATTCAATAATTAGTGAAAATAATATCTATCCAACATTATTTAATCTAATTACGGTACTAAGTCCAAATAAATAGTTATTATGTTAATATGATAATCGTATATTGCTTAAACCATCAATTCATTTCATCATTTAACATTATGTAATTATTATGTTAACTAACAAATTTATCCAAGTGACCAATTTCATCATTAATATTTCTCATTTCTAATAAATCCATTTTGCAGATTAGTAATATTATTATTACTATTATTATTATTACTATTACTATTATTATTATTATTATTATTATTATTATTATTATTATTATTATTATTATTATTATTATTATTATTATTATTATTATTATTATTATTATTATTATTATTATTATTATTATTATTATTATTATTATTATTATTATTATTATTATTATTATTATTATTATTATTATTATTATTATTATTATTATTATTATTATTATTATTATTATTATTATTATTATTATTATTATTATTATTATTATTATTATTATTATTATTATTATTATTATTATTATTATTATTATTATTATTATTATTATTATTATTATTATTATTATTATTATTATTATTATTATTATTATTGTTATTATTATTAATATTATTCTTATGGACAGCCCAACAAAATACACGGCTCAGCTACCCTAATCCACCTGGCCCGAAACTGCAAGAGAAGAAGAAACAAGGAGTACGTACCGTCTTCTTCGCAAGTAGACGCCGTCGACTTGGCTACGGAACGACAAGGCTTCTTCGGAGTTGGACTGATCGATAGCGGCAGCTCTTCCCACTGCGGCGCCTATGGCAGTACAGTTCCGGGGTCTTTCTACTCCGGTCGGCCCTTCTTCCGCAGCGACGATTGGCTTTGCTGCTGGCAACTCTCTCGTACGTTAATTAGTTAGGACGTACTATGTAGTATGTATCTTTGGGGCATAGCACCTACACTACTAGAAAAAGCATTTTTAACCACAAAAAATTTTGTCGTTGTAGGCCCAAAAGTTCGTCGTTAAAACTGTTAACGACGAATTTTTTTTGGTCGTCAAGTTGTTGTAATAGCTTCCGTCGTTAATGATTTTAACGACAAAGTTCGTCGTAAACAATTAACGACGACACTATTTCGTCGTTAAATAATAACGATGAAATAATAGCTCGTCGTTGCATAATAACGAC